TATATATATATATACACACACACACACACACACACACACACAGACTTGCTCGCCACAACATTGTCATCATTTACACAACAAAATGAGATCAAAATAATGCTGAATTTTTATTGCCATAGAGATATTAATGTATGTTCATTCTCCCCCCTCTTCTAATGACAGCTGTTACTAATATTTTGGTATGGTTTTGATTTATAGAAGGAAAGCATTGGAAACCATTCACCAATCTAACACACACACACACACACACAGACTTGCTCGCCACAACATTGTCATCATTTACACAACAAAATGAGATCAAAATAATGCTGAATTTTTATTGCCATAGAGATATTAATGTATGTTCATTCTCCCCCCTCTTCTAATGACAGCTGTTACTAATATTTTGGTTTGGTTTTGATTTATAGAAGGAAAGCATTGGAAACCATTCACCAATCTTCTGCTTCTCTGGCGTTGTGTCACAAGTAAAGCAGCCCAGCCCAGAAATTCTCTTTATTTGGCTAGTTCATCCACCTTGTCCAAGGGGGTATTCTGACGTGTTCCTAGGTCAGCTGAGATGTTTTTCGAGCGTGTCCTGGATGTTGCTTTGTCCCTTTGCTGGGGGCACATGCCTGGAACAAGCATGGAGGCATCATCAGAGCGACCTCATCTGGCTCCGCTTAATGCTGAGTAGGGCCCAAACGATTTTAGGAAAAGATTGAATAGTGATTTTTCTGAGAGATATTGAGTGCAATATTCACCATGTATAGTAACGTTTGCAAAATTGACCGAAAAATACATCCTACCATCAAAACCGACAAGATAGCCCTGAACACAGACACTAACTTGAAGAGACTGAGTGGAGCAAGCCTTTTTCAAGGTTTTTAAAATGGTTTCTTAAAATAAGACGTGCTGATTGCTGACAATCATGCATGTATAAATATGCAAATATAAGTATCGAAAATTTCTTTTTTAACCGAAGATGTTTTAACTTTTGTATGAATGTACATGCTTTGTACAGTACATAAATATAAGATTGCATCATTTTAAATAATGATTGTTTCATTTTCCATAGGTGTTTCAAAATAAGATAAGATAACCTTTATTTGTCCCATACTGGGGAAATTTGCAAATTTATCTGTGATTATTATGAATTTTCAGTGTGTGTGTGTTTTTGTGGGTATCTGACCATTTGTGTGTCCAGATTGAGAACAGGTGGGACCTGCTGGCTGGCCGATTTGGACTGGTTGCCACTATGGACCATGGTCAGAGAAGGAACTTTTTTTTTTTTTTTTAATGAATACCCATCATTCTGCCCATATTTAGTCTTGCAAGTATTAACGTTCTCATGTCTGCAGTGAAACTTTATTTTGTAGCCAGATGTATCCTTGAAGCACACTACCTCACCAGTTAAGCATAGGAATGCACCAGTTGATACAAGTTAAGAATCGGTTTAGGAGAAACGAGAGTCCTGATGCCGCACCATAAGTTTCGGTACCGCCCTTCTGATGATATAAATACGATGTGAATCCCTTGCTTCTTTGCACTCGTGATCCACCCATCGTCTGTCAACCGCGGGTGCCCGTTCATCGACTCCAGCCTGTATTTGGATAACCAACATCCTCATCATCCGAAATTCAACGAACACGCGGAGGAAAAAAGGCCACTTTCCTCCCAACAGTTCCCAGGCCAGGCGGGAGAGACTGGGTCATCCCCGGGGCCTCCTGCCAGTGGGACAAGCCCGGAACACCTCACCAGAGAGGCATCCAGGAGGTATCCTCATCAGATGCCCGAACCACCTCATCTGGCTCCTCTCAATTTGGAGAAGCAGCTCAGCGAAAAGCTAATCTATCCATTTTCTACAGTAATCTGTTTATCCTCACGAGGGTCTTGGTCACGTTGGGGTTATCCCAGGTGTCTTCGGGCAGTAGGGGTATACCCTGAACTGGTCGCCAGCCAATCGCAGGGCACACGTAGACAAACAACCATTCGCACTCACAATCACACAGAGTGATCACTCTTTACAGTGTTTCATTAACCTGGCATGCATGGTTTTGCAATGTGGGAGGAATACGGATAACGAGGAGAGCATGCAAACTTCGGCAACTCCCATTGCTGGTGAGCCGGAATCGAACCCTCCACCTCTGCACTGTGAGGCGAACGTGCCGACCAGTCGCACACCGTGCGACAAAGCGAAAAATTTAAATTTTTACGGCCCTTATTGTTGCTTTAATTATCAACACAACTGGCCAACGTCGTCTTTTTTTTATTCGCTGACAAATGTAGTCATTTGGGGTGGGCAACATCAAACACACGAGAACAAATTACCATTAACTGACGTAACGACATCAATTCGTATCAAAGAAGATTGGCAGATAAACCCTTTTGTCCTAAAGCCTGTATTTATTGTTTTTTGTTTTTCGTTAAACATCAAAGCGTACGTAGACAGACTACACATTGACTTTAAAAAGGCGTAAAATATATTAAAAGTCTGCTGGTTTTAGGAGGATTTCGGGATGAATGGAGGCTTGTTAGTTCTGAGCACTGGTCGCGTATGAAAACCGTCACAACAAATAACTACGTAAATACATTTTTACTTTTTTTTTTGGCCTGTAATGGAATGTCATGTATGTACAGTTGATTCGATGGGCGTGTGGACGAGTTATCCAGTCGCTATAATCATACATTGGTGGTCCGATAAACTGTATGCTAATGTGAGGCTCGGCGCTTTCAGGACTGCATCGCTTACCATTTGTTTTGTTTTTAACAGTGATGGATAATTTCCAGCAGCTTCTTCTTCTGCTTTGGAAGCACATCACCTACCGCAAAAGAAACAAGGTGCAGTCATACATTTTCGATGCTTCTGGTTGTTGTGTTCGCAAATGAGCCTTTAACAGCGAAATTGCTGGCTTTCACACATCATATGGAAATTGACAATTATGTGTGGCGTAATCAAGACCAAGACACTTTTTGAGTTGGCTGGCTGCAGGCACCTGAACAGGAAAGGTAACAGTTATACATGCATTCTTTCTCGCCTGTGCAGGTTCAACTGATTATCGAGCTCATCTGGCCACTCTTCATCTTTGTCGTCCTCATTTACATTCGTAACACCAATCTTCCTGTTCAGCAGGGTCAATGTGAGTAAATATTATGTCAGCACCCCTTTTTCTAAATGCCAGAATGCAATTTACAAGACTCGAACCATCCACGACAAATAACCATCTAAAATTCCTCCACAGGTCACCAGACAAAAACAAAACACACAGTGTGTAATTACTCAAATGTGGTCAACAAACTTATCAGAAGTCCCCCCCCCCCCCAAAAAAAGACAGATAATTTCCTTTTTTTTTTCCCCAAAATTTCCCCAAGACAAATAATGGATGGCTTCATGTTTAAAGACAAAGTAATCTTACTGTATTTCAACTTTGGACTGTGAAGGTCTTTAAAAAAATACAATTTTTCAAAAGTACCCTCATTAGTCTGGGATTGAGCAAATAGATATTAATTTGGTGAACGTAATTGACCTAAAACAGGAAATGTTTACATTGAAATCATGTCAGCGAGAGTGAGGAAAAAGTGTGTAATTTTTATATCGGGTGTGTAAACTTCTGGTTTGAATTGTACGCAGTCCCCTCCAAAAGTATTTGAATGTTAAGGTCAATGATATTACATATTTAAAAACACAGTCTTTGCTTCTGTAAAAACAGTAAATTAATACACCGCTTGTTACATTTCAAGCGTTTTTGCCAGCATGATCATGCTGCCGTATTCTGGGATAATCTGCTCTGTTCTTGCATTGCTCTTTCTTTTTTTCAGGTCACTTTCTAAACAAAGCCTTGCCATCAGCAGGCACCTTGCCGTGGATTCAAGGTTTTTTCTGCAACATCAATAATCACTGTTACAGCAGCCCAACGCTTGGGGAGACTCTGGGCCAAGTGGGCAACTTTGACAACTCAATGTAGGTTTAGTGATCGCATAAAAACATTCACAGCGATGTGGCCTCTGTCTGGACATTGAAGTACTTCAATCAAAATCAACACGAACCACGGCAGTAATTTGACAAATTTATCTAATTTTTGAAGCGTTTTTGCCTGGTTACAACCTTATCCAATATCCATAATGATCAGCTTAATATTGCGGTGTTAGCAAATGTTTTTTTCAATAATAATCTGAGTTAATTGACTGAAAATGCAGAAACATGGCATCAAGTGTGCAAACTGAGGAGTACTGAAAAGCCACAATTTTACAGTGCTGCAATGTAGATACAGTAATCCCTCGTTTATCGCGGTTAATGGGGACTGAAACCACCCGCGATAAACGAAAATCCGTGAAGTAGCAACCCCCCCTATAGGTACATGTACATGTGTATGAGTATAAAAAATATTTATAAGGCCAAATTTAATGGTATACATGCATGTAGAAGTACATTTTGTAGTAATTAACATGACTTAATGCTGTATACTAATAGATTTAAACATGTATAAATTAGGTTCGTGTATGAATCACAAAATACAGTAAAAATATACAGTACATGTAGTACTGTATGTTGCTCTATGTGACTCGCTGTTGTTTTGCTGACTTTCGCTGCTTCTCGCGGACCGTTTGCGGACTTTTTGCGGACTTAAATTTTTTTTTTTATGAATATGTAAATCCGCGATGCACCGAAGCCGCGAATAACGAACCGCGAAATAGCGAGGGATCACTGTAAATGCCAAACTCCTTTTTTCCCCCCCTTCCAGAATTTCTCGTGTCTTTGTGGATGCACAGAAGCTTTTAAACTACGCTGCAAATCAGGACAAGTCAAGCCTCAACACGCTGCGGACAACCGTCCAGAGTGTGGGAAATAAACCTGAACTCTGGCCAAGTATGACCCTTTGTTGAACATATCTTTTGACTTTAGTTCTGATTCTGAGAGATCCATTGACATAGCCCAGTTCAAATGCATCAGTAATGTTGTTAGCATGTGTTTCATGTGATTTTGTACGAACAGTTCCTGCCATTGTAACTTTTCTTGTCTGATTGAAATTTCTATATTTGCAGTTAGGTTTCTCAAGGATGTAAAGACATTGAATTTTACATGACTTAACACATACGATACCTCGTTTGACTACATTTAGACCATGGGGTCTTCAATCCTGTTCTCGAGGGCCGGTTCCCTGGATGTTTGATTCGTCTCCCTGCTGCAACATACTTGATTCAAATTGTCAGGATCGTTAACCAGCTTCCACAGAACTTGCTGATTAAGTGATCATCTGAATTGGGTGTGTTGCAGCAGGGGGAGGTGGAGAACAGGCAGGACAGCAGCCCACGAGGAACAGGGTTGAAGACCCCTGATTTACACAGATCTACAAGGAACCAGCTAATTCAGGATAGTGTAACCCGCCCACCCCCAACCACCCAACAAACATAGTGAATGGCTCCATCGTGGGTGTTATGCGAGTATAACTTCAAAAGTCTGCTAAATATACAGAGATAGTGTGTCTCTTTAGAGCATAGTCAATGCCCAAATATGTCCCAACCACCCAACAAACATAGTGAATGGCTCCATCATGGGTGTTATGCGCGTATAACTTCAAAAGTCTGCTAAATATACAGAGACAGTGTGTCTCTTTAGAGCACAGGTGTCAAACTCCGGTCCTGGAGGGCCACTGTCCTGCATGTTTTCCAAGTCTCCCTGTTGCTACACACCTGATTCAAACGATCATATCATCAGCAAGGTCTGGGGAGGCCTGATTTTGAACCTATTCATTTGAATCAGGTGTGTTTCAACAGGGAGACTTGGAAAACATGTAGGACAGCGGCCCTCCAGGACCTGAGTTTGACACCCCTGCTTTAGAGCATAGTCAATGCCCAAATATGCGTTATATGTTGAAATTGCTGAAGAACGTTTTAAAATTTCCTGGTTCTGTCAAAGTTGCTTTTGTAGTAGTACGATATACTGTAATTGAAAGTACATGTAAAACAAAGCAGGTATCAAGTGACTGGCTTTGTGGCAGGTCCAGTTAAACTTCCCCTGAGTGACAACATGTGCTCTAAGAGCCCAGCCTCAAAGACTTGTCTTTGAATGTCTTAATATTCTGACCCACGCCCACGTCGATATACTCCAAATCTTTTTAAGCCTGACAGTTTGTATCGGCTCAACAGATCAGTGATCCTTGATTCATCGTATGTTGTTTTCGTGCGTTGTTAAGATAATATTCTGTTGTCGAACTTTTCATTTCAAGCACACTTTAATCTCTAGCCCGACTCATTTCTCTTTTTGATCCACTGCAGCTCTCCCAATAGCACAGTTCCTAAGAGCCAATGAGGCGTTTTCCACCTACTTGCGCACCAAAACCGGCCTTTCGTCTGAGACTGTGGAAAAGCTGCTGATGACTAAACTCAATTTTAAGGTGAAATCACAATTTTTTGGGGGAGGTGGGGGTCCACCAAGATGGCAGCTCCTTGTCACGTTGCTAATGTCATGGATAGTGATTTGACGCCTATTTTTATTCTTTCATCTAGCCATCATTGGCAGGACCGGAGCTGCAGCTGAAGAATCTGTTATGCAATAAAGACGAATTAAAACAGTTTCTGATTATGGATGAAGGGGAGGACGTGAGTGACTTGCAAGGGCAGCTGTGTGCGTTGCCTGATGACATCGTTCAGGAGGCCCATCGCCTCTTTCTCTCAGAGCTGGACACAGCCAAGCTCGTGGCAAATTTCAAGGTGTGAAAAAATTGAATATAAAACTCAAATGATTAATTTTTAGTACATTGCTAAATAAAACACTGTATATAAGATAGATATTGTTTTCTATCTAGTCTATCAATCCTATGGACCTGGTGGCCCTCATCAAAGCAATCACTTTAGTTTCCCAGCAGTTTGCGGACATCATGGATTATGTAAGAGCCCATGACAACATAATTGCACAGGAATACCCCCCACCCCCTCCAACACGCACATGAAATAATCTCTTTCCTTCCCTTTTTGTTGCTTTGGCACCCCTCCCATCCCACTTCTCTAACTCCCCTCAGTTCTCGCCCCACTCCAGCTTCTCTGATATGAGTAAGGAACTCGGCCTGTTGTCTTCAGAAAATGGGGCTACACCCAGGCAGCGTTTCCAGGTAATCTCAAGGATCATGTGCAATCGCTCTGCGATTGGCAACAACCTAATCCCATCATTCAACGGGTATGAAGATGTTAATCAGTCTTTGATGGAGACAAATGACTTTCAAGACATGGACGTCAGCCCCACGAGTCAAACCAGTAAGTATAAGACGCAATTGAACCTGAACTGACACATTTTCTCATAATAAACCGAGTGTGTTGGTTGTCTTCATTTTGCTCAAACTGACCAAATTTCCCTCCCGAAAAGATACTTTCTGCCAGAGCTTGATTCAAAGTTTAACGACCAGTCCCATGTCCCGTCGCATTTGGCGAACAATTAAACCTTTTGTCAATGGAAAACTGCTGTACACACCAGACACGCCTGCAGTTCAACAAGTTATGAAAGAGGTTAAACTCATAGTTTTAGACTCATTAAAGTCACATGTACAATTTGAATATGTATCTAATCAAACTTAATCCAATATTTCCATCAATTGAAGGTGAACAAGACTTTTCAAGACCTGCAGATCTTGAAGGACCTGAATGAGGCTTGGTTGGAGGTGGGGCCAGAAATTAAAAAAAACATGGAGACTCGAGCGGAGGTCCCGCTATTGCAGGTCTGATTCCCCACAGACATACATCTCTTCGTGGAAGCTCATGTCTTTTTATTCATGTCAAAACTTTTATGCCAGTTGTAGAAATGCGTGTTTGTGTGTGTGTGCTTGCACGGTGGGAACAGGGGTTGCTCCAGCTGCCCAGTATATCGACACTGGTCAACAAGCGACTGGCAAACACGACATGGACAGCCGCACGGTTGGCTCATTTCCTGTCCAGTCCTTCATCAGATGCACAGAGGAGGTCTGGAGGAAGTTCAACATGGAAGGACATCTACAAAAATGTCAATGATACCATCACCTACCTTGCACAAGTCACTGAGGTTTGTAGCTTCCAATGCTAGTTTTAATTACTCAACTGAGCAAGTGCACACCTCGAGCTCTCCGCTTGTCTCCCAACAGTGTTTTTTCATAAACAAGTTGGAAGGGTTGATGAGTGAAGATCAGCTGGTCGGCAGGGCTTTGGAGCTCGTTGAGGATGGACAGTTTTGGGCAGGTGTCGTCTTTGTCCCTCCCAATTCTTCTGCCACTGAACTGCCATCCAATGTCAACTATAAGATCCGAATGGACATTGATGATGTTACCCGCACTGATAAGATCAAAGACAGGTAGTCTAATCATTTATATATGACAACGCTTGTGCCAGTTAAAGTGCTAAAGTGAAAAGATTTCAGCTAAATTTTACACCAAGGCAATGTTTTTAATAATACTTAAGCATGCTGATTGTTTATGGTGGGTTTTTTTTCTCCAGGTTTTGGAAACCTGGTCCGGCAGTTGATCCAATCAACGACATGCAGTACATCCGGGGAGGCTTTGTATATGTTCAGGATTTGGTGGAGAAGGCCGTGTCCCGTATCATGACAAAAGCGCAGCAAAACATTGGCCTCTACTTACAGCAAATGCCATACCCCTGCTTTGTGGATGATATGTAAGTCACGCCATGTCAAAATTCAGGATGATGCAGTTTGAACCTGATTCTACACCTTTGTATTGAGCTGGAAAGCTGACACATCACAACATTTTGACCGTCTGAGCAGATGCAGTACTTGAGCTGCATCCAAATGATTTTTTTTACAGATGCAATGTCGTCCAGTTTTGATTGACACTGTTGGGGTGCTATTGATTCAATACTTCATGTTTATTATTGTGGTTGTCATGCTCTAAAACTGCACTGCATTACACTGAAAGGTATTTAATATTTTGCTTGTGCCGCTTTGCTACATGAGTGTCATAAATTGGAAACGGTCGCCTTGCGGTGTTTCTCTGTCAATCAAAACTGTATATTTTTAAAGCAATGTAATACTCACGCCAATTTTGTATGAGTGTAAGCAAGTGGTGTAAGTGCTCATATTGTTCAGATTGGTCGGTGTACTTTTTTTTAAACTCATACAGGGTTCATTTCTTGTTATTTACCAATTGCATAATTCCATCTGGTTCCCACAGTTTTCTGAGAGTGTTGAATCGCACCCTGCCGCTTTTCCTGACACTGGCCTGGATCTGTTCTGTGGCGGTAATCATTAAGGCGGTGGTATACGAGAAGGAAGCCAGGCTGAAAGAAACCATGAAAATAATGGGTCTGAGTACAGGAACACTGTGGCTCAGCTGGTTCATCAGCAGTCTGGTGCCTTTCCTGCTGTCTGCTGTACTCCTCATTGGTCTGCTTAAGGCAAGAACTCTTCCTTGTTCAGAGCATCAAATGTATGAGACAAAAATAACACACTGGAATAGAAGGGACTGGCCAAAATCTGAAAACCATTGTTAAGTCCTAGAAGCAGTGATCACTGTGTTCAATGTAATTCATGACTGAATGAAGTGTCACAATACTTTTTTTTTTTGCCAATGTATAGTTGTGAATGAATTTTTGTGTTTTAATGAATCGTGTCCCTTTCTTTGTGTCTAGTGGGGCGAGATCCTGCCATATAGCAACGTGGTTGTCGTATTTTTTTTCCTGATGGCATTTGCCACTGCCACTATCATGCAGTGCTTCCTCATCAGTACTTTCTTCTCCAAAGCCAACATGGCTGCCGCATGTGGGGGGCTCATATACTTTAGCCTCTACCTTCCGTACATACTGTTTGTGGCATGGCAAGACCGAGCCACCACCACAATTAAAGTTTTTGCTGTAAGTGAAATGTGAACTTTTTTTTTTCTCAACTTAAATTAGCATTTGTGCTAAATACATCTTTTAGTGCTACAAAAGAACATTGTGTTTTGGTTAAAAGCTATTTCTACCTACTTTTCTCAGAGCTTTCTGTCTCCTGTGGCTTTTGGGTTCGGCTGTGAGTATTTCTCTCAATATGAGGAGCAAGGCGTTGGGATCCAGTGGTCCAATATGCAGTCCAGTCCGGTGGAGGGCGACTCGTACAACTTTGCGACATCTATTGGGATGCTTTATGTGGATGCCTTCATCTATGCCGTGGCAGCTTGGTACATCGAAATGGTGTTCCCTGGTATGATTGCGTTTTACTTTCTTTGTGGTACATTTTGCAAAGTGCATCTTGTAGCATGCGTAGCAGTTAACGGTGACGGCGAAACATTTTATTGTATTTTCTTTTTCAATGTCTTTCTCTGGGAAGAAACAGAAATAAGACATGTTCATATCCAACTCAAGTGAGTGACTCAAAGGGGGGACATCTTCTTTGTGAAGTGTATCACCAATACAACACAAAAGAATAATATTATATTCATTTATTTCTTACCTACAAAGATGATACAGTACAATGTAATTTATTTCAGATGATATCATGAAAATCTGGGCATCACGATGGATTGCTGGTTACAGTGTCTCTTTGTGGAGTTTGCATGTTCTCCCCGTTTTATTTTTCTGGCTATTCTGGATTGCTCCCACAGTTCCTTATGTGCATATTAATTAATTAGAATTAAGACTAAATTGTCCATAGATGCGTGCGTGAAGGGTTATCTGTTAGTATTGGGAGGGTATACTCTGCTTTTCCCCTTAAGTCAGCTTGGATAGGATCCATCTCCTTGTGAGTGACCCTGATTTGGAAAGCAACAGATAGTAGTGATGCAGAACGAGGTGTGAGATGTCATCAAAAAAAGTTCACAAAATGTTCTTATCTGTCTATGCCAGCGATTTATAGGCAGAATAATTAAATATTTTCCCATTAAATGGCAGAAGATGCAATAAACCTGTTTACCCATCTGTTGCCAATCATGGCTTCCTGTAAAGTATATCAGCTTTTTCTTCAAGTAAACTGCCCCAAATTTCACACAGAGTGGCTCATTTTGTGAGTAGATAGAGATGAGATCATCATTATTGCAGTGTTCTTTGATTGACGTTTTTGTATTTATGTTGGTGGTGAGTTTTTTTTCTCATGTAAAATTGATGCCTTGGCGCAACAGAGCATGGGAAACCCTCTATAGAGAATGGATGGAAGACTAGATTGTCCATAGGTCTGAATGTGAGTGTGAATGAATGATTGTCAATGGCCGTGTCCAAATTCGCAGGCTGCGTCCCCTGAAGGCCGCATTTTCGGCTGCATATTCTGGCCGCATGATATCACTTCAGCCGCAACTTGACCGTAAGTGGTTCCAAGAAAGACAGTTCGTAGGCTGGGTTCTGCGTCGACTGCATAAAACGTGGCGAATTTGGACACGCCTGATGTGAATTTGGACACTGGGTGCATCAAGTTGCGCCTGAAGTGATGTCATGCGGCCTTTGGAGGACCCGGCCTGTGAATTTGGGCACAGCCTATACATGGCCAGCAAATTATTACATGTTTGCCCCGTTCCATATGAGACACTTGTTTTGTTGTTGTTCTGACTAAATCTTCTCATTCAATAATTAACGTTAATAATATCGAAAGACGTTGTCACTTGCTTTTTGCAAGCCGTTTACTTCAGCCCTTTGAACACGCACAGTGGTTCTTGTTAGAGGTGCCGAACCCAACCAGGTCATATGCACATTCATGGGGCCAGAAATTAAAAAAAACATGGAGACTCGAGTGGAGGTCCCGCTATTGCAGGTCTGATTCCCCACATACATACATCTCTTCATGGAAGCTCATGTCTTTTGTTCACCGAACCCTTCATTAGTGAAAAATAAAAAAATTATGTTTTACAAATTCAAGAAATAAAAAAAAACGCATGAAAAAAGTCAACACAATTGGTATAAGTATAAAATATAAGCAACTGGTTCAGGGTGTCCCCCGCCTACTGCCCAAAGACAGCTGGGATAGGCTCCAGCACTCCTCGCGACCCTTGTGAGGATAAAGCGGATTGGAAAACGGATGGATGGATAAAATATAAGCTTTTTAATTGTGCACAAAATGAACCAACCAGTGATGGCCAAGCGGGCGTGTCATAACTAAATGACATGTTGAGTTGGGTGTGTCTTAACCTCCACGGCAGAGGCTCTGTTGAACCCCCGAGACTGATTCACCGAACCCAGGTTAAGAACCACTGAACACGCATTGTACACGATCCTATGACAAAAATTGCTGGAATTTGCGTTGGTATTGTTAGGGCAGTAACTGAGTGGTGTACAATGTGTGTCCTTCAGGTGAATATGGCATGCCCCGGCCGTGGTACTTCCTCTTTCATATTAACTACTGGAGGGGAATTCCGCTGGAGGATGGCATTCCAATCCCCACGGCCCCTATGGAGCAGGGTAAAGGTGAGACGAGAAACTGCCGCACATTGTGCCTTTGTTTCCTTCACATATTTTGCCTGCCAGCATGACTGGCGAAACAAATGCACGTGGGAATCAGTAAAGTGACGTCCGGAGCGTTACATTGTTTTTTGTACTTTTGTTGCATTTGCAGGCCGCTCCACTTTTGAGACCAAAAGTCACTGCGTACTTTATTTCGAATATTGTCATTTTATCATGAGTATAATTTGTTCAGATAAGAAGTTTATAGTCTGTTCATCGCTATTACTGTATGTGTATGTAGATCGCATTGAAGTAGACCCAAGTAACCTGGTCCTTGGCGTCAGCATAAGTAACCTGGTGAAAATATACAAGAAAGGAGCCAAGCTGGCAGTCAACCACCTCAACCTGAAGTTCTACGAGGGGCAGATCACCTCATTTCTCGGTCACAATGGAGCGGGAAAAACTACTACCATGTACGAGCAGATTGAGTTATGGATTGTTTCATTTGTGTTTTGTCTCAGATTTAAAGTTGAAGCCATGTTTATAAGAAACTGCAGCCCTCCCCAAACATTTAAAGGGACACTTGGACCCGGGATGGTCAATTTTTCACGATCAACCTCCATTTCTGTAATATTTTATCATAAAAATGATATCAACTTGCGTTTTCAATTATAGTAATTTGTTTTGGAGAAATCAATAATAAAACGTAAGGACTTTGAAACTGCCTCCTGGAAACCAGCAATTTGGCCACGCACCCTCCCCTCCCTCCAGGTCTTTGTTAGAGTCACAGGAGGGACCGGAGACTCTTTGTTCCTTTAAAATCATACATCATACATCGCTAACATCAAAACTGCAGGCTTCAATGGGCCCCAATATGTATGTAGATATCTCTACTTAGACCCACTTCAACCTCTTAAAATATCAGAAAACGACTCACCTTTCTATGGCTGACTTAAAAGCTAATGAAGAAAGGAGCAGCTTACGTGCAGTTTATGTCATATCTTGTCTGTTTTCTTTAGTAAGTCACCAAGATATGGAAACAGTTTGCTTTCCAAGAGGCTTTTTGGAAGCTTAATTGTTCAAAATGCAAAGGTTCAGCCCATCCAAGTGTCCCTTTAAGTTTACACAATTTGTATCATATCATTGATTTCAATTGCCATACTGTAATTGACTTCATTTTTGAACTGTTGCAGAACCTGTACTAATCACAAAAAAATGTGTGCGCTTCTCTGCCAGATCGATATTGACCGGTCTGTTCCCACCCACCTCGGGCACGGTGTATATTAATGGAATGGACATCCGCTACAACATCGACACCATCCGAAGGACACTTGGAGTTTGTCCGCAACATAATGTCCTGTTTGATCTGTAAGGATTGTCTTGTGTTACACTTGCTGGCCCGAAAAGTCAATTCAACGGTTCTTTCCACACAAGAGCCAAAATCTCCAAAACAGTGATGGTCTTTATAAAGGCTTAAATTTTAACATGGTTACATCATTAATTTAAGTTTCCGGGAGTGTGAGCCACGTAATTTGTCTTTCAATTCCTGGATCAAACACATGCTTTCCGATTCAGCAGCTTGTTAGAAAACTGCAAGTTGTGCAAAAAGTACGGAAACATTGAACAGTTGGACATGCACATTCAAAAGTTAAAACATCAAAGTTCTCCTGTTTTGGGAGTGTAGTGGATGCGTACTTATGAGTTAAAGGTTTGATTAATCACTAATGTTCATTTTGTCTGGCTTTCTGCCACAGTCTAACAGTGGAGGAGCATGTATGGTTTTATGGACGTCTGAAGGGTATGTCTGAAGAAGAGGTGAAGTCTGAGCTCGACTCTTGGCTCGAAGAAGTTGGACTTCTTCACAAACGTCATGAACAAACTGAAACACTCTCTGGTGAGCTCATACAAGTACTGCATGGTAACCAGTGGGGTTTTCGATTGAAAATTGCAAAAGTCTACCTGTAATCTCCCTCCTATTGCTACCAGGTGGCATGAAGAGGAAGCTGTCGGTGGCAATAGCATTTATCGGAGGCTCCAAGGTGGTTGTTTTGGATGAACCTACAGCAGGGGTGGACCCGTACTCCCGTCGGAGCATTTGGGACTTGTTGCTGAAATATCGCAAAGGTGACCTGAAAATTGTTCGTTTAAGGTGCATGCTATTTTTTGCTTTAAAGGGTGGTCTGTAGAATAAAAGAACACATTGGTCCAAAACATTTTATATTAGATCTGAATATTCTCTCGAGAGAAAGAGAAAACACTGTCTTAAAAGAACAAGCATCAGGATGGTCCATTTTTCACTACCAAGCTCACTTTAGGCAATTTTTTTCCATTTTATCAGAACCCTAAAATTTTATTCAATTGGTAGTTGTCTACCTTTAACTAGAAGTGTTTAAGTATAAGATTATCAATTTGATTATTTATCAATCATTTAATTTAAAATTGTCTAAAAGCTTGGAATTTCAGCTTCCCAAGAATAAATGTTACCGGATCTGTAGTCATCCATGCAAGTGAACTGATTGTCTTTGTGTTGAATCAAAATAAAGCAATCGCTTTTACTTTGGAAAACAAACGTTTTTACCGGCAGTACTTGACATGTTCTGTTGCTAACCAGTAACTGAGTCAAAATGTATATGTGTTGTCAGTTTGAAATAATGTCATGTTTTTCAAGAAAGAATTTGTATTTTTACACAATTTATTGATTAAATCGACAAAATAGACAGATCAATTGGTTATTAAAATAATCATTACCGCTCATCACACTGAACCAACAGCCCCTTAACTAAACCGCTTATTAGCCAAACCACTTAAATGAGGAGACATTACAATGTTGCCGTTGCAAAATTTGACCCCAAAAAACCTAAGAAAACAAGCCAAAAATTACCATGAGGCTGTTGAAGGGCATTTTCTTTCTTTCTCATTTCATTTTTAAATTCAGAACTATATATATAATAACTGGTAATGTTTGGACCATTTTTTCCGATGCATTGTCAGCAGCCATAATTGTGGTTTTTATTTTATTTTTTTCCCCTTTAGACCGAACCATAATCCTCTCCACTCATTACATGGATGAGGCAGAACTACTTGGTGATCGCATTGCCATCATCTCCCATGGAAGGCTGTGCTGCTGCGGGTCACCACTTTTTCTTAAATCTAAACTAGGATCTGGCTACTCCCTGACTGTTGTCAAAAAGGTATCAACAGCACTATCAGTAACAGTGTCCGTGCCACCACACTGCATTTTCTCACCATTTTAAAAACTACGTTTCTGTACAAAAATGAAACAAACATAATTCGTTTTCAACATTTTACCTTAAACTCCTGGTAATGTGAAAATAAGGACAAACCAATGCCAATCAAGTTAGGATGTTGTGTTAAAGCATTAAGAAAAATAGAATCAAATGATTTACAAATTGTCCACCTATATTCAGTTAAATATACAGTTCAACATATTTAATAGTGTTCAAACTGCTTTTTTTTCAAGTATACAGCACCATAAGCATCTGATCAGTTTAACTTAAATGGCAAAAAAGCAGGTCACCTTTAACCTACGGTGGCGCGTGACACAGCTGTTGCGATCTATCTTTTTTAAATATTATTCTCATTCAAAGTTTGTTTCATGTACAAGTCACCAATGACAGTGGCAAAGAATGGCAATCTGGAGCGCCGGGAGAAGCATTTTAAAATGGTACATGTACGTACGATAGTTTCTGCACTTAACATGCTGCAAAAAGTGCATCCCATGCCTCCGCGTCAAGTCTCTACTAAGGTAGACCGTGATTTCCTTTTCACAAACTTTTCGTTCATGTTCGGGGCGGTTATGGCTGCTGCTCATCATGACATGCGTATGTGTGTGCGCACGCATGTGCGTGCATGTGTGAATGCGTGCACATGGGGTAATGGGTCAATCGCTGGAGGTTGGTTGCTTGAAAAGGAGATCTTCAGTCACAAAGGGTTGGCCACCACTGCTATATGGTTTTGGCTATGCATGGTATAGTTTTGACTTGAATTTGTAGATGTAGATACAAACTGTTAACTGACAATTTTTTTATGTCTTCCTGAGCCCATGTAACAATTTCAAGGTTGCGGGTTTTTAATTCAGTGCTGCTTGAGGGATTGAAGGTCACGGGCATTTAATGTTGGATTTTGGCCTTTCCACTTATGTGCAGAGATTTTTCCAGATTCTCAGAATTTTTTGACGATATTATGGACCATTGATGATCTCTAAATTCCTTGCGATTAGGATATATGTTGAGAAATGTTCTTAAACCACTGGAGACTTTGCTCATTCAATTTTTCACAAAGTGGTGAAAGTCACCCCATCGTTACTTGTGCACATGAGCTTTCTCCTTTTATGCCCCATCATGACACCTGTTTCCAATTAACCTGTAAAAAACTGAAATGATAAAAAACAGTTCATGATATATCTTCAGAATTGAGTACCACACAATTCTCAGTCTTTGCAGGTTTTCGCAAATCACTTCAAACTTGTATAATGTATTTTCAAACAAATCTTTGAATTCACTCTACAGGCTCTGAAAGAAAAATACTGAGAAAACCTGGATATAAAATTCTACCCTGACAAGTATAATCGTGTTCGGAATCCGGTTTTGATTAACACTGAAATTTCAAGATGTTGAAGAAATAATACATGAAAAAATGTAATGTAACATAATGTGTTTTAGGACAGCAATTTATTACAGACTGGAGGAACACCCAGATCCTGCAATGGAGACGCAGGTCTGGCTAATGTGGACAATAGTTCATGTGAGTATTCTACATGATTCTAACATGACTTAGGAGGTTAAAGACTAGATTTCAGAGGATTTTTCAAGCTACAGTTTGATTATAATTGTTTTGACATATGGACTGATTGTGATTTTAATGATGACCATTTTTTTCATGACTTATGTGCTGATTGACCTCTTTATGGTAGCCATGGAAGCCCTGCTGTCCTTGGCACAACGCCACTTTCCTGATTCCAGGCTGGTGGAGGAGTCACAGTGTGAGGCGGTGTTAAATCTACCCCAGGAAGCCTCCAAGAACAGCCGCCTGGCTGTCTTTCTGTCTGAACTGGATAAGAATCTAAGCCAGATTGGAATTCTCAGCTATGGCCTGTCTGACAGCAAACTGGAGGACGTAAGCATATCTCTGCCCTCATGAAAACACATTTGCAGGCTGTAATATGCATGCCAAACCAACAGGTGGTGCTGTCACCCTATTCCTCAAAACCGTGTTCACTCACTTATCGAGGTTAATGGGGACCGGGATCCTGCCGCTATAAGTGAAAAACCGCAGTGGACCATTGGCTTCCCCGCTAGGAATTTTTCTGAAAGTGTATGTGGGTACCAGCATGGTTAAAAAAATGTGGCAGTATTTATACTTTACATATTTACTAAAATCTGTAATTATAAAACCTTATACAGAAATTAACATTCATCAGCATTGCCCTTTAAGAGGGACAAAGAGACTTGTGTTACTCTCACTTTATGCTGCTCTGACAGTGGAGCCGCCGTTAGCCTCCAGCTAGCTGATGGAACCAATCATGCGTACAGCCATACACAAAACCTCTGTGTCATTTGTCATTTTTCTCTGAATACAGTACATTGGGAAAAAAACCCCACGATGCACTGAATCCGCAATAAGTGCATCGCGAAGTAGCGAGGGATCACTGTAATCCAATACATCTTGATTTATAGAGCGCTTTCACAACCGCTGCAGCTGCAACAAAGCGCTGTACAGAACATTTAATATAAAGTAATAATAAAACAACAGAACACATAAGATAAAAAACATCGACAATAATAACAATTGTAACAACTACTCCTATGCACGCCTTGTTTGAAATGAAAATAGGTTATTTATTTAAACTCCCATTATCTGAACCACATTATCCTCATGAGGGTCACAGGTGTGCTGGAGCCTATGCCAGCTGATTTTGGGCAATAGGAGGAGGACACCCTGAACTGGTTACCAGCCAATGGCAGGGCACACGTAGACAAACAACAGCCTTTCACACTCACAAGCACACCTAGCGATAATTTAGAGTGATCAATCAACCTAGCGTGCAGGTTTTTAGAATGTCGGAGGAAACCGGAGAAGCTGGAGAAAACCCACGCAGGGACAGGGAGAGAACATGCATGCTCCACACAGGAAGGCTGGGGGCCGGAATTGAACCCCTGACCTCTGCACTGTAAGGCGGACATGCTAACCAGTTGTCCACTGTGTTGCACTTATTTAAACCCTTTGAGCGAAATTTGGTTTCAAAGCTTCGATTTCCTACGCCGAGTGAGAAAGAGTGCTATATCAGCATGTGAACAAGAGTAATGTCTTTTCCAGATCTTTCTACGAGTGGCAGAGGAAACTGAGGTTAAAGCAGGACCAGGGCTGCAGGCTAATCTTCCTCAGCATTCGCAACAGGAGGAAGAACCCAAGATAGGTGTGTGTGTGTGTGTGTGTGTGTGTGTGTGTGTGTGTGTGTGTGTGTGTGTGTGTGTGTGTGTGTGTGCTCGTGTGTTTGTCTGACCTAGCGTGTCGATGGTACCTCAGACTATTTTCATTTCCTGTACTACTTCGAGGAAGAAATAAAACTTTGTCAGCAAGGTACCCTTCAAATTACAGTAATACGAAATAAATTGCAACTCACTTCAGTTGTCAAAAAAAAAAAAAAAAATGTCAGGTTAGCAGGGTAATTATCCATCCATTTTTTTAGCTTTTGCTGCTCACGGTCGCAGCCACCTTGGCTGCTGCTCACCAGTCATTCACAGAGCACATATAGAGGCAGACACCCATTCACACTCACATTCACACAGTCACTGAATGGGAACTAAACCCACGCTGCCCACGCAGAAATCAGGCGAACAACAATTCACGGAACATAATTATACCCTTCAGCTTCAGGGGTTGTGAGGAGCATATGTGTGAGAAGAAAGAGAGCAATATAATTGGATGTTTAATTTGTGTTGTCTTTTAGTTGAACAAACACATCATTGCCACAGCATTTCTTTCCTGTCCATGAGCTTGTCTTTAAACTTCACAAGTATTTCAAAAGTGAGAAAAATAATGGCTTCTCTGTGCCTAACAAGCTCCCACAATGTTTTGTCACAGAGCCTCAGGAGGAAGAGCTGCTGAGTAGACTTGGCCAAGGTGCCACCTTGACTGGATGGAGCCTGAAATGGCAGCAGCTGCGAGCTCTCTTCATCAAACGATGGCTGTATGTTCGCAGAAGTCGTCGAGCCCTTTTTGCTCAGGTGATCACAAACAGCAGGAGAAAAGTGGGTCACTATTAAGGACCTGCGTCTTTCGGAAATAAAGTGTTTTCCCAATGTATCCCCCTTTTTAAGCAACTGGTAAAAGCGTTTTTATTTTGTATAATTTTAAGTACCCTCGAATGTGGGATTGGCGAGCAGTAGAATGCAATCAACAGACTTGCTGATGTCACATGCCACCCCAACAGGCCCCTCCTCTGAAAGGCGCACACACACTACAATCGTTACATGATTTTATACATGATATATTTGAAATATATTCACACAAATGTGGAGGGGCATATTGTCTGTATTGCAGAATTTTACCTGTTGCGCATGGGTGTGGAACATCACTGTACTGTAATTATGTGTGCTACAGATTGTGCTGCCTGCTGTGTTTGTACTGATCGCCCTGTTTGTCAGTCGCGTTGTCCCACAGTCTGGGAAGTACCCAGCCCTGGAGCTCCAGCCTTGCATGTATGGAAAACAGTACATTTTCTTCAGGTATACTAAATAAATACACATTCAATTTACTCTGTCCTTGCTTGATTACTCTAAATGCACTGAACTTGACTTTATTGGTCAGCCTGTTGGGACTAAGTTGTTGTTACTTAGTTGCTACTTCATACTGTTCTAGAAAGGAGACTGTTGTGATCAGTACCAGGTGAACTGTTCTGTACCTCTATTTTGGGATAATCTTGGTATGGTACGGAAAGAATTTTCACTTCTGTTTGGTTGAAATGGAATAGAAAACAAGTGTTTTCTGTAGTAATAAACATTTGTATGAAAGGGGAAAGTATGTGAAGTGCATGGGTTTCCTGTGTTTTTAACTTTGTGTCCTGTACTGTGTTCCATTTCACTGTGACTCTTGTATATCTATTTGTGCGGGTGATTGATTGATAAAACAACATTACTAGTCATTTTTCCAGGACTCATTCCATAACCTCCTTACCCACTATAAAAGTCAGCCTGTCATGATGCAGGATTTTATCTTGACACCTTGTTAATTGTCATTGTGACCTGACATATTTATAGCATGGATGCTCCTAAAAATCCACCCATGGAAAAGTTACTGGAAGCCTTGTTGGACCAACCAGGTTTCGATTCCAAATGTATGGAGAACAAGAAAAGCACCGTGTAAGATTCAAACACGTAAAAACATTAAAACACCTTTGCATTTAAATTAAACCTTACTACTGCTCTTTTTGTGTTGGACAAACATTGCTGCCTCGCCTTATCCGCCAATCCCATGTTCCCGCAGTACCCACCGGCATGAAAGTAAACAAGGGCGTGTGTTCAAGCGGCCTCAGGTCCCTGACTCCACCTGGCAAATGTTCAGCACAGTCAACTGGACCAAGGAGAGACCTTCACCCGACTGTCAGTGCAGCACAGAGGACTCACGCCGGATGCTCCCAGACTGTCCAGAGGGAGCTGGCGGACTTCCCCCTCCACAGGTTAGTATGATGTCATCATGTCATATCCTCACTGATTTACATGGAACTAAAAGTTTTGTCCCGAATATATTTGTTAAAATGTTAGAATCATGCATCCATTTAGATTGCCCTTCCGTATGAGATTTTGAGGATAGCTGAATGGATGATTTCTATGCTGCTCACAGCCTTATTAAAATTAGTCTTTCCCTGCTCTGTCCTCTGCATTTTTGATTGTTTGTTGATTTAGTTGCTTGGATCTAAATGCGATTTATTAACAAAAATACATTAGTTGTCATTTTCAGCAACATTTTCATGTATTTTTTTAAGGGTATTGCAGTTCCTCATTGAATGCTTTTGAAATAGAGTACTGTAATATATGATGGATGAGGTCATTATTTCATGCTTCCCACAGGGGAAATTCAGGTGTTAGAGAACGTTGTTTTTAGAAAAACTAAAACATTAGAGGGAATTGGAATCAAATACAATAAAAGCCACGAACAATATTTGCAACCAATTTTTTCAAAATTGAAGTGGCGTGTGGTTTTTGAACAGCATCAACGGATATTGAGGCTTCTACAATGTCAAATGTTTTCTGATTTCCCTATCTTATAAATTTCATTTTCATGTTGAAATTTCAGGTCACACTGTATCCTGGTGTCATCCTGCAAAATCTGACAAGTTATAATATGTCAGATTACCTGGTGAAGACCTACTCACAAATTCTTCGGAAGAGGTACATTTTCTATTGTCTTTAACTTTCGAATAGTTTTTTTTTCAAATTAAGATCAATGGAAATAGCACTTTACTCTTTCAGAATCATTCATCTTTGGCAACAGTCATCACATTATTGTACTGTATTGTTTCTAATTTTTTTTACATACTGCATTCTTGTTTTCATATAAGCTCTGAATCCAGGCTAATTGTGCCCCCAAAAAATAATTAAAATGTTCTCTTACAGCCTGAAGGCCAAGAAGTTGGTGAATGAACTGAGGTAAATTCCAAGAAAGGAAACTCACTTTTCCAGGCCCATTTCATTTCAACTATGTGGAAGCTATTGAAGTCACTGTGTTGCAGGTATGGAGGCTTCTCCCTCGGAAGTGTGAGGCCTTTACCTCAGGACATCGATGTCAAAGATTCAGTTACAAAAATCAAAAATGACTTCTCAGTTTCACAGGTATATTATATTCTACTTAATTTTTGCCCTTCTATTTGTCTTTTTCAACACTGTGCAATGTAACATGTTTTATTCTTCTCAGAATAGTGCATTGAATAAGTTCTTAAACAAACTGGTTGGGTTTCTGGAACGCCTCGATGCACAAAATAATGTCAAGGTAGCGTCATTTCTTTTCTCTCTCACCAAACCACAAGCAAGAAAGGGAATTTTCTAATTTATATGTGATTTTTTTATTGATTGATTTATTTATTTTTTTTCTTTGTTGTCCTACAGCTCTGGTTCAATAACAAAGGCTGGCACGCTATGGTGTCATTTGTTAACGTGGTGAACAACGGCTTGCTCAGAGGCGGACTTCAACATGGCCCTCGTAGACCAAGCATCACGGCATATAATCACCCGCTGAACCTCAGCAAGGAGCAGCTTAGCCAAATTGCCCAGTGAGTACTGCATGGGTGACACTTTTGCATGACAAATATGGCCAGATGAGATAATGATCTCTGGCATTGCTTATCTTTCTTCTCCATGTGATTGGTAGGAATGTATGCGTTGTAGAAGCGAATTGATCAAATCAAGTGTTGCAATGGCAATTTGATATTTCCTCTTTTGTTTTTAGGAGCTCATCTTCAGTGGACATCGTGATTTCTGTCTGTGTGATCTTTGCCATGTCCTTTGTGCCAGCCAGCTTTGTGCTTTTCCTGATTGATGAAAGAGCTAGTAAAGCCACACATCTGCAGTTTGTCAGCGGCGTCCAGCCAATCCTCTACTGGGTGGCGAACTTCTGCTGGGACATGGTCAGCACAGATACCAGAATTACACCTTGTGTGTTGGGGGTGGGCATTCGTTTAGCATATGAACTAAGAGAGGAGAGTGATTTTGAAATTTCATCGCCAAGTTTTATAATTATAATAATAATAATAATACATTTTATTTATAAGCACCTTTCAAAATACCCAAGGACACTTTACAATCAAAAAGAGCAATAAAACCACATTTTAAACATAACGGAATGCGGGATGAGGACATCATCCATTTGCCATGCACGCAGGCGGAGTTCAAACAAACAAAACATTGCTTTGATGCTTTTGCTGGCTGCCTCAAAATTATCAGAGCAATTGATGTCTTTTCTCTCACTTGGTTTAGATACTTGTTTGTCTCTTTCACCAACTTTATTTTGGCTTTTTGCCTTTTAGTAAAATCACTTATACTTAAATAACTTAATAAAAGTTAATAATCTGTGAAAGAAAATCATGCAATTTAGTCTCAGCCTTTTGGCATTTTGATCATTTGGGCCCATAATTTATGATTAAACAGAAAAAAGTAAACAGTTCTTGTCATTAGGAGAAAATACCCATTCATTTTTCTTTTCTTAACCCCGCAATTCTACAATGCTCATATTGCAAGCCGACCACCCAAAAAATTCATTTTTATGAATTTTCTGGGGTGGCACGGTGGACAAATGTTGAGCATGTTCGTCTCACAGTGCAGAGGTTGCAGGTTTGAATCCTCCTCTGGCCTTCCTGTGTGGAGTTTTTTACTCCCTGTGCCTGCATGGGTTTTCTCCGGGTATTTCGGTTTCCTCCCACATTCCAAAACCATGCATTGTAGGTTGACTGAACGCTCTAAATTGCCCCTAGATGTGATTGCGCTGTAGTTGGCAGCCGTCTACAAGAGCGCTGCTATTTTTGTTGTATTTGTCATTTGTTTTGTCATATGGTGGTTTTTGTACTTCATGTGGACCCGTTGTGAACTGTTTTCAGCGTTTTGGCCACGAGATTCATTGAAGGAAAAGAATCTGTGCTTGATGGTTGCACGTTCTTGGCAGCATGCGTGGGGGGTCGCTGCTATAAGGTTAATCTTGTTTTTGTTTGAATGTTGCCATTGCTTCAGCTGAACTACACCATCCCAGCCATTATCGTGGTGCTCATCTTCATCAGTTTCCAGCAAGAAGCGTATGTCTCAGCGACCAACCTGCCAGCTCTCATCCTGCTCCTCCTCTTCTACGGGTATGTATTGGCAGAGTTTGTGCACATCTTCAATTCAATAAAGCTCAGCACACATGGTGTGAGTCATGTCAACGCTGATATATTTTAAATTTTGATATCTTTAATATACTCATCCTTAATTATATTTGTTCATCATACAAACAAATTTCATCAATCACTTTAGGTGGTCCATCACCCCCTTGATGTATCCAGCATCCTTTGTGTTCACCGTTCCCAGCACGGCCTACATTGTTTTGACCTCTGTCAACCTTTTCATTGGAATTAATGGCAGCATTGCAACATTTGTTTTGGAATTGTTTGCAGATGAGGTAAAATCACAAGCCACTCTTTAATATTTTATTTTTTCTGGCAGTCTCTTATACAACTGTGTTAGAACTGAACTGAGACTTGTGTCTAGAACTTCACACATTATATTTCCAGTTGTAAAATAATTTCTGGACGTTTGTGCCTTTACAGTCTTTAAACGAGCTAAACAAGGTCCTGAAGAAATTGTTACTCATTTTCCCTCATTACTGCTTGGGAAGAGGTCTCATGGACCTGGCTAAGAACCAAGCCATGGCTGAGGTCTCTCAGAGACTAGGTATGGTGATCTTCGAATTAAAATACTGTACTTAAATTGGCATACATTCATCAGGCCCACCCCGATACTCCAAATGCAATCCAATGCAGAAACTGTGCACGCCTATCACATTATGTTCAGCTACAGCTGATGCTTATCAAGTAGTCCCAGAGCTTTTATGATATTGTGGTTGTTTTTTTCTTCAGGCATGAATCAGAGCTCGGACCACCCTTTGCAGTGGGACTTTGTTGGGAAGAACCTCTTTGCTATGGCAACAGAGGGGGTTGTCTTCTTCATTTTCACCTTAATGCTGCAGTACAAATTCTTCATTGGGCACATGAGTTTTCGAAACACCCGTCTTTGTCTGTCATGTGTCAGGTATGCTCAGTTTTTAGAGGCTGTTCTCTCTGCTGTGTTGACACAAAATTGTGTTCGATTCCTACTAAAGTCACAGTGCACATCTGTCTTAATTGTAAAGATACTATCAAACTGTTGTGGTTCTGTGTGTTCAGGCCATGGTCGGTTGTGTCTGATGTCCTTCCTCTTGGCCCTGAAGATGAGGATGTGGCCAGGGAACGAAAGCGGGTCAAAAGAGGCAATGCTGATTCCGACATCCTCACCATGATTGACTTGACCAAAGTGCGTATTTTATTTTGTCCATGATCTTAAGAAGCAGTTATTCTAGAGTAAAGTGGACAAAGAGTTAAACATGTACGCACAGGCCTGTACACGTTTCAGATTTTAGTGCATTAAATCAAATTGTCCATTTTTCAGATATACAAAGCTGGAAAGAAACCAGCTGTCAGTCGGCTCTGCCTGGGGATTCCTCGTGGCGAGGTGGGAGCGATGTTCAGCCATTTTACTCCAGCCAGCCACAACATTAAAGACACCTTCCATACGCAAATTTACTCTGAGTAGAAGAGCTAAGATAATATACCCAGTTTTAATCGACAATATCAAGAGTTATTCATTTAACTACATGTGAAAGTGTTATTTATATACTGTAACGTTTGTCCTCCAGTGTTTTGGCCTGCTCGGTGTGAATGGCGCAGGGAAGACAACTACGTTTCGCATGCTGACGGGAGATACGTCGATCAGCTTTGGAGAGGCTTTCCTCAACCACCACAGGTTCACATTTTCATTGACATCCTCTTTTGTAACGACACTGACATCCAAAGACCTACGTGTTACATGACACAAATACATGACTCCATTTCAAAGTGTCCTGAGAGAGCTGGACAGGGTTCACCAGCTGATGGGATACTGCCCGCAGTTTGACGCCATCTGCAACCTATTGACTGGCATTGAACATCTGGAGCTTTATGCCCGTCTACGAGGGATACCTGAGGAGTCTGTCACCGAGGTACCATTAACAACATTCCACCCATAGTATATAAAAGAGAACATAATGAACATTATATATTTAATTTCATTCCAAAATATGTGTTGAGCCAAAGCGGTTATTTTCAATTAGATTCCACCAAAACCATAACAAGGCTACAAATGCACATTTTGTGTTGTCTTTTAGGTGGCTAAGTTGGGTGTGAAGAAAATGGGACTGAGTCAGTATGCCAAGCAAGAGGCTGGAAACTACAGCGGAGGCAACAAGAGGAAGCTCTCCACCGCGATCGCCCTCATTGGTGCTCCGCCTGTTTTATTTCTGGTGAGCAACGTGGAGACTTGTTGACAAACATGCTTGAGGTAACAAGAGTGGGCGAAAGCACCATAATAACAGATGTGACTTTAAAGTGGCTATAATTGAGAAGTAACAGTTTTTAAAAAAAGACAGCATGCGACACCAGAAGTGTTGCCATCGGTGACCATAAAGGGCAGAGGAGGGTAGTGTAGCCAAAAACTGGACTCAAGTAAGACTGCTGTTACTTTACAATACTGTAATATGACTCAAGTAAAATGCAGCCCTCCAAATAAGTGCCTGAGTAATATTAAAAAAACATCCTCAATGAAAATACTACTCAAGTACACTATTAACTTGAGAGTAACTTCTGACTTGTTTTGGGTTTTAAATCGGAGTATGAATGCGAACGGCATATCAAATAAAAATAACTGCATAAAATTTCATCCATCCATCCATTTTCCGATCCGCTTTATTCACACAAGGATCGTGGGGGTGCTGGAGCCTATCCCAGCTGTCTTCAGGCAGTAGGGGGGGGGGCCCTGAACCATTTGCCAGCCAATCGCAGGGCACACAGAGATGAACAACCATCCGCGCTCACACTCACACCGAGGGACAATTTAGAGTGTTCAATCAGCCTGCCATGCATGTTTTTGGAATGTGGGAGAAAACCCGCGTACCCGGAGAAAACCCACGCAGGCCCGGGGAGAACATGCAAACTCCACATGTTAGGATCCAGGATCGAAGCCACGACCTCCGCACTGTGAGGTCAACGCGCTAACCACTGGCCCACCGGGCCGCTCTTGCATAAAAATTTGAATTTGCAATTTCCAGTATTGTTGAATAATATCCCTGCATTCTCAAAACATTCATTTTTTTCTATTTCCATCTTTGCCCCCAGGATGAGCCAACAACGGGCATGGATCCAAAGGCTAAAAGGTTCATGTGGAACTGCATTCTCTGCTTCACCAAAGAGGGAAGTGCTGTCGTTCTGACCTCCCACAGGTAGCGGGGACTATTCACTTAGCCATCATCAACTCATAAATGTCATGGCACCAGCACTGATCAAGCAGTCAATATATTTGACAAAAAGGTTGAATGTACATAAAAACGCATTCACAGTCTAGTAGAAAGGTGACGGTTTTTATGCTTTGCTTGTATGATCAGTATGGAGGAATGTGAGGCTCTCTGCACCAGAATGGCCATCATGGTCAATGGCCGTTTCAAGTGTCTTGGCTCTGTGCAGCACTTGAAGAACAGGTAACCAAAATCAATTGTTTGTGTGTGTGGAGGGGGGCGGGGGTGTTTGAATACAGCTTATTTGTTTGACATCATTCACCTAAATGCCCACATGTCCCGACTGTCCCGACTGTCACCTACTGCATTCACATTCTGAGCCATTTGTTATTGTTGACCATAAAGTTTAGGTTAACTTTGGATCAGATGATCAGTTTAAGGTATTTGACATGGTCACCTGATGGTGTTTATAGTCGAGCTAAAGTAATAGGAGGGCTGAATGATTAATCGCATTTGCAATAAAATCACTTTGACAAAGTGCAATTTTGTAATAGTAAGGGCTGCGGTCACCCACATTTCCACCGAAACTGATGGAATACATATGCTCCATCTGTTGCCATCTCTGTGTTAAAAGACATAAGCCAATTTTCATGACTTGGTGACCTATTTTTACATGCTGTTTTTATTTCCATTAGTGATGGGAAAAAGCTTCAAAATTGTTTCATGAACTAGTATTTATTTTACTCCTGTAGATGGCGCTCTCTGTTCAGCATTGGGCTGAAAGCACACGGACTTGTCATTACATAATTCCCTTTATTTAAATCACTATCATTCTAGAGGAGTCAAAAAATAACTCGTTCACGAAGCATATTTGAAGCTTCATTTTCCCATCACTATTTTCCATGATGCAGAGGGGTGGCACTATAATTGAGTGTTTAATTACGGTAAATACACTCTGTCATCTGGTGCAAGAGCATGTGATTTTTCTGCCTGTTGCTATTCGTGGTTGGCATGGATATATTAACAGAAGCATTTTTTATGGAGAATACATTTTCGTCCATATAATTGACATTGGGCAATTTTTCATGGTACAACTGACGATCTCTGACGGTACACTCATGGTTGGTTGAAAATCACTGCTATAATTAACTGTCACGAAGAACCATTGTCCAGATCAGATGATTTCTATTTTGCATGTGCATGTGCTTGTTTAGGAGCAGTCCTACTGTGCGTAGATTCTCAAACCTTTAACACCACATTCAGCCTTCAAAAATAACCTCTCTGCCACCGTAATGATAACATGAAAATACAGTATCGATGCATTGAACACATGACAAGTTGCTGTGGAAAAGGCTACAAACAATTTCACCTTGTTAATGATACAGATTTGGTGATGGCTACACCATCATCCTGCGTCTGGCAGACAGTGATTCCAATCCAGACACATGCCCTGTCAAAAACTATATCAAGAACACCTTTCCCATGATCGAGTTGAAGGAGCAGCACCAGAACGTGCAGCAGTACCAGCTTCCAGCACATGCCTGCTGTCTGGTTCAAGTGTTTGACGTGCTGGCCAAATATGAGGAGCTGGGCATCAGTGACTTCTCCGTGTCACAGACCACTTTGGACCAGGTGAGGACAAGATTCCAGCAAACAGTAAACATTCATGATTTAATGGAGCAGTGGCAGTCAATGATGGTATTTCAGCAAGGCAGGATTCACAGTGCTTACTTGATTAGAATTTAAAATTCAGTTAGGTGCAAACGAATGCATGAAAAAAAGACCAAGATTTCAGAAAAGCACTGATCCCGTTGATCACGACTAAACCCATCGGTACACTATTCATTATACTTGTGGAGATCTCATTAAGCTGTCACATAAATTTCAAAAAGTAACGTGCTACAAATGACACTGATTGTGCCGTTTTGGCCGGTTTTATTGGCACTCATAGCTGGAGGCATTCCTAATCATTTTTTAAATTATTTTTCCCAACATATGAGACTCAGTATGATGCAGTGCAATTTAGCACTGCTGCATTTAACAACAAGAGTGGAGAATTTGCTGTGTTAATTAGCAAGATTTAAATTTAGCCTAATCCGCACCCCCGGCCCTCCCCTTTGTGGTTCTCTGACCGAAGCTATACCCCACTTTAACATGCACAAATGTGAATCTCAATCATGGCCGTTTATAATGGCATGCGATGATGAAAGTGCGCACTTCCAACTTTAGTACATTAGCAGCTCCAGCAATACTAAGCTAGCATTAGCTCTGTAGACAAACCAACGGTAGCCACAGCTGATACCTTGATAGCGGGACTTTTTCATAATTGAGTGTTACTGGAAAAGTAAAGATTAGCAGTTTAAAGTTTTAGTGAACATGCCTTTTCCGATACAAAGCAATTTTGGCAAGGATGCTGTATTACATAAAATATTGATGTTCTACTGTAAATGTGCTAGTGGTCATGTTTCGTTTTTTTATTTTTTTTTTTTTTGCATCATCATAATTAATACTTCCAATGAAATAAAACTAGTTATTTAGTCTTACATACAAAGTTGTCTTAAAATTCTTTGCTTGACAGCTTTCTGTGTCTGTATTCCTGTCCCACTCTCTCCATTAAACATGACACGTTTACATCAGTAAGTAGCAACAAGGCACATCTTTCATATCAGATTTCTTTTCTACAACACATAGTGGGAAAAGTGTTACGATAGCAAGCATTTTTAACGAGTATTGCCTAAGAATTACCCCACCCTCCGTACCCTGTATTTTGCATGTATTTAGGAAACTTTGAGCCTTCTCGTTTGCTTAAATTTGCACCAAACTGCAAAAAAAGACACTTATCAACCGAGGTGAAAGGGCAGGCGCTTGAGCACCACCTTGTGGCTATGTTTGCTCATTCCTGTTTGAACTCATCCTTTGAAATGGAACTACAGTAAAACACAATGAACATATTCTCTATTGCCTAGGTCTTTGTCAACTTTGCTAAGGAGCAGACTGATGATGATCAGCCCTCAAACGTGAACATTGACAATGGGACCGTACAGAGCAACCTGTCCACCCGACGATTTCAGATGTTTTCCTCAGGCGTCCCGCACAAGACACCAATCTCGCAGCAAAGGACCTCCGCTTGTGACAAAAGAAGCAAGAGGGAAATTAAAACCTCCATATCTCAGCCAAAGAAGAAATGTAGAAAAAGCATGCGCAGCAGCAGCTTCACTGGTAATACCGTTGGCACTGAGGAAGAGGTGTGTCAATCTACAAGGTCAAAACGGAGCAGCAAAGATCAGAATCAGAATCAGAATTCGTCTGTCTTTGTAGTTGGCACGAGCACAGACGACACATCACTGTGACAAGGGAGTAAGGGCAAACTGCAAGCATGCTACAGTATTTATGTTCACTTGGAACATGGCTTCCATCTGGTTAAGCTCTTCCCAGCATGGAAAGGCCACCGACTAACAGTGTCAACATATCGTTGCGATAGTGAAAAGGGACTCTTAAAATGTTACGTTTGACATGATGCCTCCCAAAATGGTTTCTGTGCCTTTTCCACATGTTCTTTATGTACCCTTGCACTCTTCACTCAGATTTAAAAAGGGCTTTACAAGCCTCATTCACACGCCAGTGGGAGGCTGCCGCCATGTCCACTGGGAGCAAATTAGGGTTCAGTGTCTTTTGCTCAAGGACACTTCAACATGGGCACAAGGGTTGAGGATTGACGCACAACCTTCGGGATGGGAGACAAACATTCGACCACTTGAGCCATGGCGCCCAATTATAGTTACATTTGCATGACAGTTGATAATCAAAAGAGGTGTTCCTCTTTGCAATCTCTTATTTTGCACTTGAAAAGCAAAAAAAAAAAAAAAAAAAAAAGTGACTAGGCTGTTCGTCGCTAGATCATTTTGAAACCATTTTCATTATCTTGTTCATGTCTTATGTATTTTATTGTGAAAACATTTTGTGAAGGACATGACTTGATTTCAATTAATCTGACATTTTTGTTTATTGTGATTATTAATTGTGAATTCTACCATTTTAAACAGCTCTGAAAACCTGGCTTGAAGACAAGTTAGGACAATTATTAAGTACATGAGTCCTGTCTGCACATGACTGAAAGTAGCAAATTGAAGGGTTTTTTGTTTTTTGTTTGTTTTTTTTTTTGCATGGAAATCTGCGGCAACATCAAAATGAATTGAGTGTTAAAGTCTAGAGTGAATGACAAATACTCAACATAATAATCACAAATATATATTTTTTATCTGTTTAGAATTTTTTTGCAACTAAATAAATCTGAGGTGACTTGACTGTCCAAAGCACATATTGATTGCTCTGTGATGTTATTCTGGAGAATGCAGAGTAACTACATTCCTGCGGCAAATTGAAACCCATTTAATCCAAAAGCATATGATTTGGTGATTGTCGGTATATTGTATTTCAAAGACACAAATGGACTAAATGAGTTAAAATGAACATAACTTTACTTCTCAAATATCTGATTCTGGTGTGAAAGTCGCTTGAAAGTCACATTGTTCACAATTCAGTAGAATTTTGGTTGAGTATAAAGAGCAGTGTTCCCCGACTTTTATTGAGCCAAGGCTACATATTTTACATACTGGTCAATTTTGTAACCTAGATATAAAAAGTCTACATACCGGTGTTTATACAGTACACCATTTTCTTTCTCACTTTTTCCACTATTATTGTGGCCTATAACTATTAGGCTACTTAGTTGTCGAGAAAAATATTCGACGATCGTTTTTGGCAATTTTATGACATGTTACGGATCAAAGCAATCGCATCCATCCATCCATGTTTTTGGAATGTGAGGAAAGCCTTTGTAGTTGCCCCCCCAAGGGTGGATGCCTGGGGCCCTGCCCAAATGGCACCACACCTTGGCAAAGGAGCATTTGGATGAGAAGAAAAGAACATTTTAAGTGAATGTTTAAAAAAAAAAAAATCTCCACCTACAGGCCAGTCCAGCTAAACAATACCAAGAAACCTGACTGGTCAATTAATTGAAAATACAAAAAATATATAATTAAGAACGTATGCTCTGAATAATTTTTATTGGGGGGGGAATCACTGTGTAAAATCGATAAAACGAACACTGCTTACAACACTTTGCTGATTGTGAGACATGGTTTGCAGCACTGTGCTCAATTTCCCACTTTCAAATTGTTACAACAGCAGTGACCTGTGTGACCCCATCTGTGCATTGCTCCCATATACTGTTTCCCAATCTCTATTGAGCCATGGGGCATATGTTGTATTCGAGAAACTGCACGCCACAAGAAAAACGGTAACAATATAGAAAATATAGACACTAATAATTATGATCTTGTCTCAATTTACTCACATTGACTTCATGTAAAATCTGTGCCAACTTGAACACAAAGCTGATTTCCATCCATCCATTTTCTAAGCACTTAATCCCCACAAGGGTCGTTGACGTCCTGGAGTCTATCCCAGCTGTTTTAGGGCAGTAGGTGGTGTACACCCTGAACTGGTTGCCAACCAATCGCAGGGCACACTTAGATGAACAACCATCGCCACTCACACTCAAACCGAGGGACAATTTAGAGTGTTCCATTAACTATCCATGCCTTGCAAATGGCTGGCAACCAGTTCAGGGTGTATCCCACCTACTGCCCAAAGACTGCGCTGGAAAGGCTCCAACAGGCCCGCGACCCTCGTGAGGATAAGAATTTAAAAAAACTGGATGGATGGGCTAAACCAGGGGTAGGGAACTCCGGTTCCTCGAGAGTCATATCCTGCCTGTAGATCTCCCTAACCCTGGACTCAACAATGAAATTAAGTGGTGCAGAACATTAATGGCTGGATAAATTCTATAAACAAAGAATAACTACAAATTTAATTGAGGTGTTTAGTTATTGACAAAATAACTATCGCTAAATATCATTATTCAAAGTTACTGTACGTTTCCAAATTTCTTCGGACCCCAAATCTATGACTGGAGTGAGCTACTTTCTCGTCTTCGATCTCTGTAGGGGGCGGGACGGGCTAGTTATTTTTGTTGTTGGTGCCTTCAGTACAAGCTAGGTAGCACCTGCTAACATTTGAGCTTTCGCACCACTTCTAACTTCTGGCCACTGTTTAACCTTTGTTTTGACCACATAATATAGTCACATTTATTTGGCCAACTTTGTTAAAATACCTGAAATAGGCCCTTCGCCATAAGATGGTCGTTTTGACAAAACACAATGAAGATCAGGATTATATGTGAGTGAAAATGACGTGTCTCGCTCATGAGCCACTCCGCTAATGTCCTTTTAAATGGACGTTTGTTCCCGTTCGCGACTGTACAGAATATGAGCTGCACTGACGTTTCGCTTATTGTGTCCATAGATCTTTCAAAATTATTGTTAATAATTGAGTTCCCGTGTGATTGTTTAGAGCATCCTGCTTGAAGCGTTAAACAGTGAAAAATAAATCTACGTTAAGGTTTACATGTTTTTTTGAATTAAAACCCTTAATATAAAATCAAACAAATAAAAATATATATGCATGTTCACTGAAACAATCTGCTGTCTATTTTAAACTCAAACGATAAACATTGCATCAGCCGCTGCAGTACTACTGACCTACATTCGCTAGACACTTCATTGGGTACACCTGGACACGCAAATACGATCCGATGCAAGATCTACAATTGCACACAGATGATAATAATCTGCCCTTAAAATCATAATAAAACTCATCTTTGATTGACACCCACCTAACCCCCCCCCCCATTTATAATTTACTTGACCAAAAATGAGCTGCACCACAATAAAAGACAATTTTGTAACCTAACCCATCTGTCAATCAAAACTCAGCCCATTTGTTTTTGTGAAAGAAGTATTCGTACAGGTCTTCCATTGGAAATGACTAGATAGTGTGTCTATATCATTTTAATGACTTAGCAATCATACCAGTAAAAGTGGATGATTAAAATTCAGTCTAGGAATTTTTTAAAGCTGATTTTCAGCCCCCGCCCGTTTTTCCCCAGCTGCAATTAGCATCAACTCCGACAGAAATACATTTTTTTCCACAGATAAAATAAAAAGTCCTTCTTTGTGGAAATATGTCCCTTTTGTAATATACATGTATTTCTCAATAAATTTTAATGTTCCAACAATTTTAACAAAAAGAATAGTCGAACTGCCTTGGCTGGTCCCGATGAAACTCAACTCAACTTTGACTTAATTACTTTTCTTTTTTAATTTATGGAGCACTTAAAAAAACAGTAGCTGAAACAAAGGATTGTACATTAAAAAAACTGTGTTGAGAGACTAAATCACTAAAGCATAAAACAACTAATATATGAACTATTCCTTTCATTTTACTCTGCACTGATCATCATTTTACTAGAAGTATACCTCTTTAAAAAACTAAAAAAAAAGTCAATGACATTTCAACGCTCATGCAGAACCTCTATTGTCTTTTGAACACTTATCGTTGTTGACTGGGGAAGTAATCAAAACCCAAAGTTAAGTGTGTGTCGCAGCACAACATAAATGTCATAAACTCAGAATGAGATTGATTTTTGTTTCCCCTTCATAATCAAATATGTTTTTATTGTGTTGGCAGCCTGATTGAGGAGCGTAAATGCACCTCTCTGCCCAACTCTCCAGCCAGGCGAGCGTGTCCCAGCAAAAAGAAGCAGTTCTATATCAACCAAGCCATCCGCAACTCTGACCTCACACCACGAGCCAAAGGCAAAAAGAGTCTGCGCCGACAGGAAAACAGTAAGCTCCTCACCGACAACACAAGTGATGCTAAAAAGTCCAATTCAACTCGACTTGCACTTATTAGAGCAAAGACCTCAAGACATACAGTAAACAGTCATTAAAATGTCCTTCGCAAAGTAATGGACAAATAGATTACTTTATCCTTATGCCTTGTTTGATTTACTAATCTTTGAGTTTGTTCATTGCACTTAATCCTCACAAGGATCGCGGGTATCACACACACATCACAAATATCTTGTCGCAATGAGCTCTTTCAGAAAACTAGTTGATTATGCATTTATTTAATGCTTCGCATATTTGCCCATCATAGAGGAAGGAAGATTCACCTGGGGGGGAAAAAGTCGAATGGAAATGTATAGTCATATCTCGTATGCTTGATAAACTTGTTCAGCTCGATTTTCATGTCAAGACTCATGTGCTGAACTAATGACAAATTGTTGTGGGGTGTGAGACAGTTCAACAGAGAACCATTGTAATTACATTTGCCAAAACATTTGCACCCATAAATAAATGAGAAAGAGTTTTTTTGATGTGCACAAGTGATGCAATGAAGTGACGGTTGAACAACTACTCAGCCCCGCCACCCCCCCATTTGCATGTTCCCTTGCCTGCATGGGTTTTCTCTGGGTACTCAGGTTTCCTCCCACATTCCAAAAACATGCATGACAGGTTAGAGGAACACTCAAAATTGTCCAGAGGTGTGACTGAGTGTGAATGGTTGTTTGTCTATGTGTGCCCTGCGATTGGCTGGCAATCAGTTCAGGGCGTAACCTGCCTACTGCCCAAAGAAGGCTTTGATAGGCTCCAGCACCCCCCGCAACACTTGTGAGGATTAGCGGATTAGAAGATGGATGGATGGATGAACAAGTATTTGTGATTAATTCTGATCGTGAGAAATGTACCAAAGCAATTGAATAACTGTAAATGACAATTGCATCAGTTGTTTCCAGTAGAGTGCTGTAACTTTTTGCATCAACTTTGACCTCAACAAGTCCTTTGCTTTTCCAATTACGACCATAATGATCAACTTGAAATTAAACTAGAACTAGTTTACTAGGCCCAGGTTTTATTCAAAAAACGGGACACAGATTTTATTACAAAAAAAAATTCAATATTGCTGTTTGACATTTTAGCGTCATGTACTGTTTGAACATTAACACCGTGCTAA